CCAGAAATAACTAGGTAATCAACTTGCATCAATTAGGTCTGATCATGGAACTGAATTTGAAAATGCTAAGTTTGCTGAATTTTGTGATGTGCATGGCATAAATCATAATTTCTCTACTCCTAGGACTCCACAACAAAATGGAGTAGTTGAAAGAAAGAATATGACACTTGAAGATATGTCTAGGACTATGATTCTTTCTAGTAAACTGGCCCTATAGTTTCTGGGCAGAAGCTGTAAATACTGCATGCTACATAATCAATAGGTGCATGACTAGACCTCTTATTGAGAAGACTCCCTATGATTTACTTAAAGGGTGAGAGCCAAATATATCCCATCTTAGGGCATTTGGATGCAAGTGCTTAATGCATAATAATGACAAAGATTCCCTAGGTAAGTTTGATCTCAGAAGTGATGAGGGAGTATTCTTGGGATATTCTTCACATAGTAAAGCTTATAAGATATATAACAAAAGAACTATGTGTATAGAAGAAAGTGTACATGTGAAAACTAACATTCTTTCTGAGAGACAGGAACATGAAGATGAAACAATTGGGCTGGTAAGGAATTTAAATGAAATCACAGCCCAAACTGAAGCTGCAGAAGAAGGAACACTTGATGAAACATGTTCTTCTACTCAGGGCAACCTGACAGGGGAAATTGAACAAAGAGGAACTGAATCTCAAACCTCGATGGAACCTGTCCATAAACCTGTTCCACAACAACAAATCATTGAAAGAACATCAAGGGGAAACCAGTTGGTTGTAAAATCTTACAAGTATCAAAGTTCTCATCCCATGAGAATATAATCATTGACTTAACCTCTGGAATCAAAACAAGATCTTTATTAAAGAATATTTGTGCTTTTGATGCTTTCTTATCTCTTATTGAACCTAAAAATATTGCTGAGGCTTTGCAGGATACAGACTGGGTAAATGCAATGCAAGATAAACTCAACCAATTCGAAAGGAGTCGAGTTTGGCATCTAGTACCAAGACCCAAGGACATATAAATAATTGGCATAAAATGGGTCTTTAGAAACAAAAGCCTTAAGTAAAGATCACTTTGAGAGGAACAAGTTGGAATTAGGGATGATTAAGATCACCTAAAAGGATTAGTTCAAAGTTAAACGAAAAAAATAAAGAAAATATATTTGAGAAAAAAATTATTGGTTAGAAAGTCTATAAATTTTGTATATAATTAGATTAAATCTTGGTCAGTCTCATACTTTCAACGGTGTACTCATGCGTCATGTGATAAAATGACTCATTAATCTCTAATGATATTTTCTCTGTTTTGGCAAATTTAGACTTATACAAGAGAACTTACAATGAAGAACCTGGTTCATCAAGATAAATATGTATGTTTTCTACACTCTGCATAATTTGAAAAAATTATATTTGGATCATGAGCAAAGTCTTACCTAATTCCAAACTACTTTTGGACTTATCTGTTACAAGTGAACCAGTTTCGTTCAAAAGAGTCCCAACCGAATGGAAGTACCTAGATTCTAGGGATACACTCCAACGTCTCTTCAAAACTGAAATTCTGTCTGATTAGACTTCTAAGAGTCTGAAAAGCTATCGTTACCCCATTAATTATTCCTCTGTTTATTGATCAATTTTAGTGTATTTCTTACTTCATCTCTCTCAAGCTGTCAAAAACTCTCATTCTTCTTTCATCTTCCAAACACAATCTAATTCTCTTCTCTTCCATACCCTAGCCCAGATATGTCGAACACCTCTGAAAATCCTTCATCACCACCATAGGAAACTACTTCTACACCTTCTACCACTCCTTCAACCACACCAATCTCTAAGAAAAGTAGAGTAAAGAAGATGGCTCGCAAAATTGTCATTGAAGGATAGCAAATCAAGGAAATAAACAAGCAATTGAAAGCAGGTAGGGAAGAAGAATCCCAGAAATCTGAAGATTCATTTAAGTCTGCTACTAAGGGGAAAGAAAGTAGTTCTTCCAAAACTGAACAGGTATCTTCTGATTCTAAAGTTACTCCTGAGACAATTTCTAAAGTTGCTGCAAATTTGGAGAATAGATTTGTACTGGTAGGATCTATAGCAGGTGTTGAGACTACAGAATCTGGAGAAGTTGGTGGTAAAAATAAAAAAGGGAAAAGAAAAAGAGAGCAAGGCTGCTAGGAGTGCTGTGAGGGAAAAGGGTAAAAGAGTGGTTGATTCTTCACCCAATCCTGTTGGTCTAACAAAAGAAACTATTGCAATGGTTGTTTGGGGAGAGAAATTTACTAAAATAGAAGAGAGTGTGAGCAAAACATGGGGAAGTGGGTCTGGCGAAGCTGCTGAGGGGTTGGTTCAATTTGAGAAAAATATAGATGAACATGTTTCATCTGAAGAGGAAACCCTCGCGGACCTACTAATAGGGTTATAAATGGCTTCAAGACTCATACCATTCCCTATGGCTTTATTCTCACAACTGTGCTTGCACATTTCAAGGTACCTATGAAGAAGTGGGAGGTTAGTACAAGCAAGGATCATTTTTGGGTTAATACTCTGCTTGCTTGCGATTATGAAGTCAATGCCACTCCTAAAGAACCTGGCTCATCCAAAAGGTACCAGTGAATAGCAAGGTCAGAGCCTTGGTGCAAGAAAGTGGGTCTAAGGATGTTGAGATTGAAAGGCTGAATAAGAGGTTGGTTGAGGTGGAGACTAAGAGAGATGCTCCCAGAGCTGAGCTGACAAGAGAAAAAGAGAAGAATGATGGCATTCTTCAATGCATGCTGAAACTCCTCCAAGTCAAAAACCAAGTACCTAGTTCTTCCCAACCTTAAACCTCCCAGCCTAGTGTAGATCAACCAATGACCCAGTTCGGGATTTTTTGTTTGTTTTTGCTCATGTTTTTAGTATTTTTATTTCTTCTTATGCTTTGTGGTAGAATCTTATCAATCATCAATGAAATTCATTATCTTTTGCTCTAACTATTTGTTTATATTTCTTTGATGGTTAAAATTCTTAGCTTGATCTATGATGATTAATCAATGATTGCATTTGAAGTAGTCCCAATGGCCATGAGCAAGCTTTAAAATCAGGCTATCTTATATTTTTAGGCAACTTTTCGATGATGCCAAAAGGGGAAAATATTATGCTTTAAACAAGTGATGTTTATCTTTGAATAGTGATGTTTATAACCTAATCACATAGTCCTTGATGATAAATGATAAAAAGAAAAAAATGTTTCTAACATTGTGTTGATGTTGAGCTAAGTTTAAATAGGGCCTAAATGTATGAAAAACACAGAGTTTGTCATCATCAAAAAGGGGGAATTTGTTGGCCAAGTAAAGGTTGGTTTTGAAGACTGACAAAGGAACTCAGGCATGAACTAGGCTCATCCCTTGTGTGCATAGAAACAGGCAGATTCAAGCATGTGGGATGAACGCAAAAGAGATAAGCTTAACTTGGTATATTTGATATCTTCTGATCGAAAAAGTTGCATATTGGATAAGGAGAAAGACTCCTTACTCAAAGAGAACACGGTTTAAGAAAGGGAAGAAGTTAGAGGTTGAGATCAACTAGAACTCTTCCACCAAGAATAGTAGCATCAGAATTCTAGTCAATCTCTATTTACTAACTCTATAAATATTAGTATTGTTCTCTTTTACAGGTAATGCACAAAAAAGCAGAAGTTAAATGTGAATTGAGAGAAAATAGTAAGGCTTCTTGCAAGCAGTTCGTGTGTGATTCAAGTTTGCAAACTTGAAGCTACATGAACCATATTGAAGAACCAGCTCCATAAAGAGTTTTATGTGTCTTTCTTTATTTCTAGTTCAATTGTTGTAGGTGTTTTCATATTGTACCTTTCAGCTTTATCTAGAAGCAATTGTAATAGGTACTTTGAATATTCAACTTAGAGTTAACTTGAAGTTGTCGCAACAGTTAGAGGCTGGTTGCTACAACGAGATTAGAGGTAATTCTTAGGTTTACAAAAAGTTTTGCAAATGCTGTTTTGGCTCAGTGATTTAGTGAAGTGTTGGAGAAAATCCTACTTAGTAGTAGGTCGTGATTTTTTCACCTTTTGAGCCGGGTGTTTTTCACATAAAAATACTTGTGTTCTGTACTTTCTATATTTATTATTCTGCAACAGTAGTAGAAGGAACACATAGAAAATCAGGTCCTTCCATAATCAGTTTAAGTGAAAAATTAGTCACCACATAAATCACCCCCTCTTGTATGGTATTGAAGTATAAAACATCTAACATGAAATATTTCAAAGGTTCAATGACAAGGCGACATGATTAGGACTCTTTGGAAGTGCCATATAATAAGATTGATTTATCCTTATAATTTATTTTAAGTTTTAATCATCAACTTATATTTGTGAGCTCTTTCACTACTAAATAAATTATCATATTTGTCAAATTAGATAATGAAAATAACGAAAGGACATCATGCTTGTCAATGCATGCAAACATTAATAGCTTTCTGCATGATGATATGGACAAAGCTATTAGATCCACACTATTTGCTAAGGAATTTCGAAGCTCAGAGGCGTATCCAGGATTTTAAGAAAATGAGTACACCATTATCTTTAAGATAAATATTTGGTTTGATTTTATAAAATTTATGGTGATAACAAGTTGAGAAGCAAACTATATTAATAATATATTCACAAAAATATCATTCACTTTACAATTTTCCTCAACGAGTTTTCATACTTTGAAAACGGTCAATAATAGTATCATTACTTACAGTTTTAAATATCTTATGCTCTATATAGCAAACTAAACAATCATTTAGAAAATCATCATCCATCTTATTGCGTAGATCATTTTTTATGTACTTCATTGATGAGAATGCTCTTTTCACGTTTGCGGTAGCAACATGTATAAGTAAAGTCAACTTCACAAGCAAATAAATAAATGACCAAGTAAGATCTAGTTTTGTCTCTATCATAACTCTAGCAAAATCCTTAATTTCCTTCAGGTTAAGAAATCTGTTATCACACTTTTGAGCATAGACAATGAAACTATCAAGTTAGAAACCAATTTCTCGAAGCTTGTTATCACCAAATTCACTTGGACAATACTCTGCCAACTTCATTATTCTGTCCTTATCAAAATTAGCAAATGAATCAACCAGACTCAAACTGGACATACCAAGTAGTAAGTCAGTAGTCACAACATCAAAACGATCATTAAGCTCTTGAAATTCCAAATCAATAATCGTATAAAACACTTCCACACGAAAGTGATGTAAATATGAAACTTTGGACCTCTTACGCTTCGACTTTCCTATAGTATAGTCTTCATTCATTTTGGGAATTAAAATATCATGCTTACTATAAAATGAGCATACCTCATCCAACAAAGAGTTCCATTCAATTTCTCTCGTCATTTGCAATCTTTTCTTTGCAAGGTCAAGCATTCCCATAACATTAACAATATCTTGATCTTTCTTTTGTAAAGCTTTGTTCAATTCATTTGTAAATAACAACACCTTAAACATCAAGTGCAATATAAAAACAAATCCAAATTCTTGAATTTGGCTCAAACAATTTTCCGCTGCAAATCTATCAAGATGATATGGACAGTCACGCTTCATATCCACGAAATGGAAATACCGAAATTAAAAGAAACCTTTCCACATCAATTGAGGCATTTAAGTGCATCCGGTAATCACTTTTACTTTTTCACTTTGCTTATCAAAAGAAGATTGAATCGATTGATGTTGATTTTTCAAATCTAGCATCCTATTGAAGCATTTATGATGAATACTGTTTACTTCACCAACATGTGCTTTAAATTTTTCCACAACTTTGTTCCAACCCCTAAAACCATCTTTTGTAAGTACATCCCCTGCATTTCCGTGGCTTTAAAGTTCATTCTTGAACAAATTACAACACAAACAAAATGCCGCATCTCCTTTTATGCTATACTCCAACCATTAAGAATATGGTCCCCTAAACTAAGTGGGACTAAATTGGCGCATTTTACTCCCAATATTAGTTTTAGGAAAGGCATGACCAATCGGTTGACAAGGCCCTTTGTTTATATAATATCCCCTCACTTCATCTCGAATATTAGGACTATAATCCGAAATTGGCATTCTTTCTTTGGGATCTGGTTCAAAAAATTTCAAATCAAGCACTTTATCCACATTTGAAAGTAGAGAAGGATTTCTCTCCCTTTGAACTTCCAGAGCGATTTGTAAACTCATAGACGACCAACTATCACTAGAACTTGGTTCACCATTTTTCGGCTTGGTGAGAAATCTATCCATTTTAATCTTATGGATCGTTCCTACAAAATTAAATATTCATACTTCTATTTAATCTATCTTAATTCAAATAAATTGTTAACTTCAAATCAATCATATTAAAGCATGTCCATCAACAAATGAAGAAGTTATTGCACAAAAATTAAGCATCAATTAAATATATTGTTTGGTTTGAAAACTTAATTTGTTTTGACTAAATTTAAACGAAGAAGTGTTATTATAGATATACAAAACAATATATGCAGTTTCTTGTTTAAATTAATATGACACATTTATGCTTATTTAATCTAGAGACTGGAGAGTGAATTAAAATACAGATCAAGGAGAGAGATAAGTTACATACCTGAGAATTTTAAAGGAGCGTGGAGAAGAAATTGCTGCTTTTTCAGTTTCTTGAATAATCCAGTCACATAGAGCTGATACAGAGAGAGAGAGAGAGATAGAGAGAGAGAGAAAGAAAGAGAGAGAGAGAGGGAGACATATAGTATAGTTTGGTTTTAGGTATTTGATTGTATACCCAAATTGCCCCCTAAAAAGCGTGGGCCATGTTTTTGGCCAAAGGGACTTTCCCCTAAAAAAACGTGGGCTATGTTTTTGGCCAAAAGGAACTTTAAAAAAAAACTTAATTAAAAGAAGATTAAGGGACAAGGAATCGAACCCTTGATCTAGTGGCCATAGGGGCACTAACTTACCAATACACCAAGGTAGTCAATTGAGCATGGTGGTCACCAATATGTTTATATAGATAATTTTAAAATTGGTGCTATTTATACATAGCCTAGGGAGGGGAGCATAAGTGCATGTACCCCACCCCCTCCACATAAATCCGCTTCTGTCGAAGGTGCTACTATATAATAAGACCTATCATTCTCTACTAGTATGTATAGGCAGGATTATGCATCCATGATCCTAATATCAAGTAATTGGAGGAGTGTTATGTTTTTTTAGTTGATATTGTAAATAAAATCATAAATTTTATGGTGAAAAAGTAAATCAAAAGTTCTCGATCTTACAAGTGACACAATGAGAATCTCCCACACAATAGATGTACGTTCGATTCTCACTGTTCTCCTTTCATCACTTACAATCCTGATAATACAAAACTAAAAACCAAATGTCTCGGGTTCAACTTGTTCTTTTTAGAGAAACTTTCAGAAACCACTATGTTTTAGTGGTTATTAGCTAGTTGTAGCTATCATTTACTATATTACTTCCTATAGCTATGTTTTCAGATTTTTTAGAGTGTATTCGATGTATTCAAGCTATTGTATTCATGAATACAGTAACATTTCTAGGCGTGCATGAAACAGGGAATTACAGCTAGACAGATTTTTGTATTCGACTGTATTTATGGCGTGAAACATGAGATTACAGCTGGACAGATTATTGTAGTCGACTGTATTCACGACGTGAAACAGGGGATTACACTGTTTTAAACGGAAAGTGAATCAATTAACATAATAGACTCCTAATATAACTCAGTAAACTCAATTATAACACACAAATTTGTATTTTCATTTATAAAAAGGATTCTCAACCGAAAAACACCCCAAAAATATAGCAATCTTCAGAGAAATTATATAATACATCTGAATACATAAATTATATTAATTAAAAAAAACATATGAACACATTCATGGAATATAGAGAGATAGTGAATACAATGAAATACATAGAATACAACGGGATATATTGAAATACAATGAAAAAAGACAATGAATACAATAAAGTACATAGAATACAACGAGATACACTGAAAATACAAAAAAAAGGACAATGAATACAATGAAATAAAGCGAGATACATTGAAATACAATAAAAAAGGTAACTGACTCTTCAAGTTCCTCAGCCCCAAATTTCGTTCCCAATCTACCGATATCCAGGCCGCTGCCATGTGGGGCGTCCTCGCCGATTAAATGAAGACAGTTGTTGGAGAAGCTTATGTAATCTTTGTAAATTTGCAACCAAGGAACCAGAGACTCAAAATTATCTAATCTTTAAGTCTGAAATAAATTCTTTTAGGCAAAGAAGCAAATGGCCTAAAACAACATGTTTATAAGATAGAAAAACGGCAGATCCAGAAATGGGTTCGCGGTTCAGTAGTGCCAATGTTTGGGGTTGAAACCCGTATCTATGCGCAAAAAAAAAGAATGCTAGGGTTTCTAAAAGCAGGGGAGAAAAAAATCGGGGGAAAAAGAGAAGAAAGAGGAAAGAGAAATGAGGAGAGAGGAAGAGAGAGGGAGAAAAAAATAATACACAGCGTATTTAATGGCTTAAAGGTAGGAAGTGACCATAAATAGATATTTTGCTATAAAAATTAAAAGGTAGCTATAGGAGATATTTTTTTATAAGGGTATTTATTTATAATAAATAATGTATCAACCTTTGCTATAGGAGTAAAAATTGAAATTTTTTATAAAGCACTATCTTTTAGTAGTAATTAGCCATTTTTAGATACCATTTGCTATATTACGGATTATAGATACCTTTTATGTAGTTATAAGATGTATTTGATGTATCTAAGCTATTGTATTCATGAATACAATAACAAAAATATGCGTGAATCAGGGAAGTCCAACTAACCAATTGTTGTATTCGAGTGTATTTGACTGTATTCATGGAGTGAAACATGGGATTACAGCTCGACAGATTATTGTATTCGACTGTATTCACGGCGTGAAATAGGGGATTACACTATTTTTAAAATGGAAAGTGAATCAATTAACATAAGAGACTCCTCATATAACTCAACAAACTCAATTATAACACACAAATTTTGCATTTTCAGTTATAAAAAAGATTCTCAACCGAAAAATACCCCCAAAACATAGCAATCTTTAGAGAAATTATATAATATATCTGAATACATAAATTATATTAATTAAAAAAAACTTATGAATATATTCATGGCATATAGCGAGACAGTGAATACAATGAAATACATAGAATACAACGGGATACATTGAAATACAACGAGAAAAAAGATAATGAATAGAATAAAATACATAGAATACAACGAGACACGTTGAATTACAATGAAAAAAAAGACAATGAATACAATGAAATACATGAAAATACATTAAAATATATTAACAGAAAATCAAGTTGCTCAGCCCCAAACTCCATCGTCTTTGTTCAAGAACAAACCAACCGGATTATATGTCGGCGGCTGCTGTTCAAGAATCAGTTTAATGTCGGCGGCTGCCGTTATTGGTGAGAATCTTGAACATAGCAATCTTCAAGAATAATTTTTTTTTTGAATATTCGAAGATTCCCAAAACAAAGTTCTGAATGCTGAAAGTGCTCAGATTGCAAACAGTCTTGCTTTTTCCGTGTTGGTTTGTTTATGGAAAACATGTACAATTGTGGTATTTAGTTTTATGGAAGACGAAACAATTGTTCTCTGGCAAACAAACTACAATTTTTCTCTGAGAAAGGTTCGTGGGTTTGTTGTGTTCTTTGCACAAATCCGATGGAAGGAGGAAGAGATCGGAAATTTTAATGGGATGGAGGAAGAGAATGAGATGTATCAAACTAGAGAAAGAAAGAAAATAGTGTAACTGATTAACGTATTTAGTGGCTTAGGGCTAAGAGGTAACCAAAATTAAATATTTTGCTATAAACCTTAAAAGATATCTATAGAATATAACTTTTTTAAATGATATTTATTTAAAATAAATAAGGTGTTAACCTTTGCTATAGGAGGTAAAAATTTACTTCTTTTTAAAGCCCATAGTTTCTAAATGGGCCAAATAGAAAGCAAAAAAACTTATGGGCCCAGCCCAACAAAATTGAAACACCCTACATTTTTTTCCATCATATATGGAGATTAAGAAGAACTTATTTAATCCTTTTTTGGGGGATTGAAATTTCAGAAGTCTTGGTCTTTCCCCCTTTCCCTGAACTTTCACTCTCTTTCCCGCGGCTCCCCAACTCTCTCTTCTGTGTCTATCTGTCAAATCATTATCAACTGGGGTTTTCTCTCTCTCCATATTCATAATTCGGTTATACTCCTTTTCATCCCAGGCGCGTGGCTCATACGGGTAAGCATATTTCTGTGTGTGTACTGTTTCTCGATTTGTATTGTGATTCAGGGTTTTGGGTCACATGGGCTTTAGAAGTTTGAAGTATTTGGATTGTGTTTGCCGCCTTTTTTTCCCCCCTATCAATAATAGAGTATGAACTCCGATTCTCTTAATTGAAGTTTTAGGGTTTAGGATATTTGTTGATCTGTTTTTTGGTGTTTGAATTCTGGATTTGTCTCAGTTCCTGATACTTTGACTAACTAAGGGTCTCTATTAATTGCTTCCCTTTGTTCGTTTTTTGGTAAAATTTGAGCTGCTTGTGTTACTCTCACTGTCTGATACCTTATATTTTGCTCTGTCACGTTTAAGAAATATGCTCAGAAGTCAGGATTCTAGAAATAGACTTACCTCCAAACTTTAAGATACCATTTGAGTTGAGAAATCCATATGCGACATCTAGAGTTGGCAAAATGGTTAAAACAAAACAGTTATCTACCCATATTATCCATCAAAAAACGGGTTGGATAATGAACCATTTAAAAACGGGTCAAATATGGATAAAGAACCATATTATCCACTTAGGAAATGGTTAACCAAATGGATAACCAATGGATAACTAATATATTTAAATTTTACATTTGTAAAGCCTCAAATTGGAGTTCCTCAAGTTTGGAATACTAGGAATTTTCTCATAATTGATCATATTTAAGAAGCCATAACCGCGGGATAAACCCGTTTTTATCCGTCTCAAATACGGGTTGGGTCGGGTCGGATAATTTATCCGGGTTTTAAATTACCCGTTTTGACCCGTTCATATCCGACCGACCTGTCCGCTTGCCACCCCTAGCGACATTATTGTTATGTGTTTTGTTTATTTATATTTTACTTAATCGTTTTCCATAGATTAGTTGAAATTAGCTATTCTTTGTTGCAGATTTTGATATCTTGATATAAGCTTCCGGTCTTTCTGTGGTTTTGATTTGCCACTAATCTCGCTCATAGCTGCTCCAAAAGCACATAAGTTATAACTGAAGGTAAAGTTCCTTATCTAGAGCTGTTGCTATGCGACATAATTAATAGTAAAAATGTGTTTTTCTATGTCTGTCTTGAGAAATGCAGCATTTCCTTCTTACCATTTAGTACTCTTGTTTTGCTTTGTGGAAGTATATGTTATTTTGTCAATATCCACTTTGATTTCTGTTTATATGTATGCACTTTTTTTTTTTTTTGGCGATATTGATGTTACTTTCCTTTTTTCTTCTTATAGAGTTGAGATGAAGAAGACAAGTTAGGAACTTATACTTATCACTTGGCCAGCTAATTTATTAAGTTCAATCTGCGATGGACTGCAACAAGGACGAGGCCCTAAAGGCCAAAGAGCTTGCGGAGAAGAAATTGCTGAATAATGACTTTGAAGGGGCTAAAAAGGTTGCGGTGAAAGCAGAACGACTTTACCCTCAACTGGAGAACATTTCCCAGTTACTTGCTGTCTGTAATGTTCACTGTTCATCTCAAAACAAAATAGTGGGATCAGAAAGGGACTGGTATGGGATTCTTCAAATTGATAAGTTCTCTGATGAAGCGACCATCAAGAAACAATATCGGAGACTTGCACTCGTGCTTCATCCTGACAAGAATAAGTTGCCTGGTGCAGAGGCAGCTTTCAAGCTAATTGTGGAAGCAAATATGGTTCTCTCTGACCCAGTTAAAAGGTCTTCATACGATAATAAGTGTAAAGTTCTATCCAAATCTTTCGTAGCAAGGCAACCACCTCATCAGGTTAATCGATATCCATTTGTCAGGCAAAACAATGTTCACAATGGTTTCAATGCTCCGTTCAATAATCTAAATCACCGTCAATCTACACAACCAGCTTCATCTGCAGTGCAGGAAACGTTCTGGACAGAGTGCCCCTCTTGCAAAGTTAGATACCAGTATTATAGTA